ACACACACACACACACACACACACACACACACATATATATATATACTATATATATATATATATATGTCTGTCAACTGACCGTGTGTAGTGGTGTTACTATTATCTCCACTCTAGGAATTTTATTGCGTATTTGTAGACCAGTTATGGTTATCCGTCATTGTCTCACGTACATAACTTTCAATTATATACTGCGTTTGCTCAATGCGTTTGCACAGGAGTAGAGCTGTACCGAGCGCACACGTGACCGTATACCATGTGCAGATTGGCTTCACCGCCAGCGATGATTTTCCCGCCAAAAGTGGGGTGTCGTTCAACGCGCGGGCGTCGCACCAGTGGGATTTATACGACGGTATGTCGGATGACCATTCACTGGGAATTGCCTATGCGGTTGTTTATCGTTTACTTGTATGTTTGTATGTTGTTGATGTTTTAGTCGCACCAGTGGGATTTGTATGGCGGTATGTCGGATGACCATTCACTGGGAATTGCCTATGCGGTTGTTTGTCGTTTACTTGTATGTTGATGATGTATATACAGTGTCGAGTGTCTGTGAGCATGCATCTGTTTGGTCAGGAACTCGGATGTTTATTTAGGCCTGTAGGTCTCAGCTCCAAGCACTACTACTAGGCACAAGCGAAGAGTGCAGATGGTGGTGTTTGAGGTTGTGTATAGTGTTTGTAGCCAGATGGTGGTGTGTAGCTGTGTATTGCACGCTAGAAAAGCGCTGCACACATAGTTGAGATGGGTAGCTGTGTATTGCACGCTAGTAATGCGCTGCACACACAGTTGTGATAGTCCAATGTATATACATATTTACAGAACGTCACGTCGCCTCACCCCTGACACCGAGCGTGGTGTTTATGTGTTTGCGATAGTACTAGAGCTGTACCTGATCAGTATTGCAGGGTTTGATCTCATTAGCGAAGGTCGGTCTGTCCGAGATAGTAATAGAGTTGTACCTTATCAGTATTGCAGGGTTTAGTCTCATTAGCGAAGGTCGGTCTGTCCGAGATAGTAATAGGACTGTCTTTTATTAGTATTACAGGGTTTAGTCGCCGTAGTGCAGTTCGGCGAGTGAGCCTGACAAGTAATGGTAGACTGTCAAATACTAAGTATACAAAGGAACGTCCGATTAACGCAATACTATTACTATGGAGAGATTGGCTAGTACATATATTTAACAAACACGTGGTCCCACACCAACGCGCAAGCAGGGTACGCGTTAATATAGTATGCCAATAGGGTACGTGTTAATATAGTATGCCAATAAGGTACGCGTTAATATAGTATGCCATATATATACAAAACCCACTTGCAATTTGCTCTCCGATACCACACCTCAGAAATATTTAGATGGGGCCGACTCAGTTTCTCGCTCAAAGTCGTCGTACTAAATTCCAAACAAGTTTAAAAATATTGGAAACGGCTCCGAATAGAAAAGTCAACGTTCGAAATACCAGTGCATAACCCCAAATATTAATGAATCGTATAAATCGAATTCACTTGTGGCTACCTATTCAGGTCTTAAATTGGAGAAGGACGATGAAGCACAACCGTCCAATCCAGAAACCCGCCAACGAGCCCGCTCTAAAAATAGAAATATACCTACCAACTGCGTGCTAAGTTTCTCGCCCACCAAACGTGAGCTGTACTGTGCGCTGGTAGTACAGGGGATAGCCAATCAGAACACATCCGGCGAAGTCGACCAGCCGAAGACCAACGGTCATGATACCAGCAATGGTATAGGTGGCGTACTGGACACAAGTATTCTGGCTAAAGACACCATCGGGGATGCACTCTTGCCCTCAGACACTATGCATACAGATACATACACGGATATACCCACACTAACACACGCACACGTACACGAACACATCCCACCTAGTTTCAGCAGGCAAACGTCTAAGAACACACTAAAGCACACCAACACGTCACCACTGCTGTCTCTGGAAACCGCCAAAATCAACGCACGCGCGTATCTGCTGAGCTGGCAGCTAAGGCCCGTGACCCTTTCGGCAAATCCAAATTCGGTTTTTGGGACAAACAATCCCAAATTCCTGCAAAATCAGAAACACTGGAAGATTTCGGCACAGACGTCTTGGGATATCGGCAACTCCATCGAAGGTGCGTGTGGGGGCGGTCGTCCTGAGACTATGGAGTATTAGATGTTTAATGTTGTACGGTGTAGTGAAATGGGTGAGCCATGCAACGATGCACATTAATGTCATGTCAGTGCGCAGCGAAAGCATCAGTCAATAAGCAAGATTTGAAGTCAGATACGAGCTAGAGGCAGGCAGCACTCCCAGTAGTTGGTGTAGTGTGCATGTTGGCGCTATTGTGCTGTACTATCAATGGCCAATCTTACCGTGTTTTTGTGTTCACACTTCTTAAAGTATTTAATCTTTCATGTTTTGCAATGTAAAGCAATTGGTGGTATATAGCTATACTAGCAATGACCAATCCCAGAATTCCTGTGTTCACACTTTCAAAGTATGAAATCTTGCATGTTTTATAGCTGCCTTGCACGCAGGATGTACATATGCACATCCCCTTACCTATGCACATAGTTTCACCCATAACCTCGTCCAGCCCATTTTGCGGGATATTTATATATATATATAGCGCCAGAACTATCACACCACAGTGTCAACAACCATACAACGAGGTACGCAACTCATGTGTCTCTGCCAAAGCAAGCCCCAGAGAGACAACAGAATGTCTATGGATGAGACATGCTATCTCAACGCTCATTTGAAATCAGGAGTCAATGCACATGTGACCTGAGCTACCTACCTTGTGTCTACCCATCTCTGGCCAAGTCATGCACAGGCGCAGTGAATGCTATACAGAGCGACTAGAAGTCAAAGGCTATATATATTACTCAGACACCTATCGTATGGATTGCATAGTAACACGCATACACCATCCAACTCGTTATCCGGACATTCCTATCAGCATTAGCGTACCTGTATTGATGTGCTAATTGTGCAGTTTGTCTTTGAATGCATTTTCAGGGGTACGTGTGCATGTGAGGGCTCGCAACCATGGACCGCGACTTTGCGATTCACGATCGCATTCAGTCGTAACACACAGACACTAGCACCAGCCGTACCGCCATGCACATACCAGTGCTCTCTTATTTTCCATAGCGTATCTTACTACATACATACATCCATGCACATATCTAAGCCAATGCTCTCTTATTCTCTATAGCTCATCTTACTACATACATACATCCATGCACCTGACCCACACACACACATTCACCCGCCTAAACCATGCGCATTCACACGGCTATACCATGCACTATCACAACCTAAACCATGCCCATTCACACGTCTAAACCACGCACTACCACAACCTAAACCATGCACATTCACACGTCTCAACCATGCACATTCACACGTCTCAACCATGCACATTCACAACTTAAACCATGCACATTCACACGTTTAAACCATGCACTATCACAATCTAAACCATGCACATTCACACGCCTAAACCATGTACATTCACAACCTAAACCATGCACATTCACACGTCTCAACCATG